GGGGTGGGAATGAGGAATGACAGCCAGTGGCCATGACAGAAGTGTATGGGATGTTGGAAATGTTCTAAAATTGAATGGTGTTGATGATTGCGCAACTCCACAGATTTACTAAAAATCACCAAACTATGCTTACCATCGGTGAATTCTATGCTGTGTAAAGTATATCTGAAAAAGCTATTAGAAAATTGCTCACCATTAAAACATGAAGATTTTTTTTGCTCTCAAGAGAGAAGCATTGGCCTTAGAGAGCTCACAGTTAATGAAACAAACATATAAACAAAGAATTATATGTTCAGTGTGCTTTGTATGCATGTTTGTGGTCTAATGAGAGCCCTGTAGAGGGAGTTTCAAGTTGTAGCTGAGAGTTGTTAGGCAAGAAAGACTTTACATAGAAAATAATATTTGAGGTTAGCCTTGTAAAATGAGTGAGGAGTTTGCCAGATGGGGAGGCATTTGTTTCATGACATTGCTGGCATACAGGAAGTAACAGTTCTTCTTTCTTTCCATTTTTTGGACTACTTTCATTTTTAATATCCATATGATGAAAGATGTAAATAATTACAAAATTTATGTATTGACATTTGTGGCTAAGGATGGTAAACAGATAGCAAATTCATATATCAGTCTTTTAACAGTAAAAGTTGATCATTCATATACTTATGATTTTCTGGCTTTTGGGTCTTAGAAGTTACCTAAGCTTTTTAATCGGCAAAGTAATTTATAGTTGACCTTGTCTCACATTCTTTCATTATATATTGTGTATGTATTTGTGTATACTGTTTTTTTGTATGGCTTTTAACTGGTTAGGGCATAAATATTTAAGTTGTTAATAAAACAGAAGTGTTATATGTATCTTTTGATCTAGAAGCATCACGAAAAAATTACTGAATCATTAAGTGCACAGTGAACCAAGAAAGAACCAAAAAGTTCTATATTGTTTTTGATCAGAAGGATAATAAGATAAACAACTTTGCAGTGGAAATGCTTAGCTTTAATAAGAAATTTGAGATTCATTTTGCCTTTTCAGTTGGAGATTTGAAAATAGGTAAATAGTTCTTTTTCTTACAATATGGATGATTAGGAAGAAATCCTGAAAACCTCTCAACTACAAAACAGTAAGATGCTGCATAAAATATGCAAAATTAATTAGATACAAAATAAAACAATATGCTTAGTATGGCTAAAGACATAGAAGAATATCAAAACCATGAACAAAGAAGAAACGATCAAAATTGACTTTTTAAAATAACCAATTAAAACTTTTAATAATTAAAATATAATCACTGAATTTAATATCTTAACCAGTTAAACCTGTAAATTAGGTAGAGATTAAGAGAGAATTTATAGGAGCGCCTGGATGGCTCAGTCGGTTAAGCGTCTGACTTCAGCTCAGGTCATGATCTCACTGCTTATGAGTTCGAGCCCCGTGTCAGGCTGTGTGCTGACAGCTCAGAGCTTGAAGCCTGCTTCAGATTCTGTGACTCCCTCTCTCTCTGCCCTTCCCCTGGTCATGCTCTCTCTCTGCCTCTTAAAAAAAAAAATAAATGTTAAAAAAAAATTTTTAAAAAGAGAATTTATACACTTGAACATAGAGCTGAAGCAGTTACCCAGATTGCAACAAAAAGAGGAAAATACAAACTATGTAAAAGAGCGTGAAGTCAAAAGGCCATAGTTTGTATCTATGATTTTGCCTTTTCCGCTACCCTTTGCCCTCAGCCAGAAGCCCAACTGACTAGGGTTCTTTAGTGGATAGAATGACCCAGACTTCAATTCCTGATGGGTCTGAATCGTCAATAATTCTTTTCTTTGATGTCTGCGGCCTCCCATTAATTTTTATTACTTGTCATGGAAATACTAGGATACATTCCAAAGAGTCTCCTGGGTTATGGACACAATCCTCCCTGCTCCTATTGTGTATCAACAATTCACTTTCCCCTTGGTCATTGGGATCAATCACTAATCAGTAAACAACTTCTTTGCCTACTGGTTCAGTAGTATGATGAGCCCCAAATGGCCAGGTGTTCCTCATCTTCCAATTCAGTGTAACCGTTGTTGTATTCCTCTGAAAGAAGTATTTCTTCTTGAGAACTAACCAATAGGCAGAGCTCAAGTTGCAGATTGGGAAGCAAAAATTGGGTGAGTGAATTTTTAGTATAGTAGTGAAAGGAGCCACTCCCACTTCCCTTCCTTGATTCGTAGACTGTATTTTGACTGTGTTTGCGAAAACACCAATATAATGCTATAAGGCAGAACCCTATTCTTCAAGAGTTTTGTCTCTCATTTTAAGTCTTTCTTTGAGCTAGCAATTTCTGGGTATGTGGTAGGACCATTATATTCCATGGATATGCTTATTGTTTTACTACCTTTGCTGTGAAATGAGTTTTTTGATCAGAAACAAAGCTGTGTAGTATACCATGAAAATGGATAAGACATTCCAGGTAATAGTGGTGCTAACCAGAAATGTTATGAGCAGGGATGGCACAACCATATCAAGAATACATTTATTCCAGAGAGGACAGATCTGCCCCCTGCATCCAGTTGCATTCAACCTGCCACTAGGTGGCTGACCAGTACTTATGGGGAATGATGCCATTTCTGGGGCTCAGACAATGCTGGCATCTGCTGCCAGATAAGAAGCTGCATTATTAGGTGCATAGCTGCATACCAGGTGCTAGAGGCTGTGTTGATTTGCTCCAGTGATGATACCACATCTAGAATGGCAGCTGACATCAGAATGAGCACTTGATTACATTTGCTGTGATCCACAGTCATTCTTCAAGATCCATACAACTTCTGCACAGACTAAATAGATGAATTAAATGGGGAACGATAGATATCAACATCCCTGTATCTTTCAAGTCTCTGGTTGTGGCACTAAGCTCTGGAGTTCCCCTAAGGATGTGTTTTTGCTTCTTGATTATTATCTTGATAGGGAGAAGTTCTTGGAACTTCCACTAGTCCTTCCGACAATAATGGCCCTTATCCCTGGGTCAGAGTCAGTGTGAGATTTGTACAAGTGGCCTGATGTTTCTATTTCAGTTATACATTCTAGAACTGAGAAAGTAATCATAGTGTGAGTTCATGGACCAACTGGGTCCACTGTGAGTTAAACCTGAACACTATAAATCTCCATTTGACTGCTGGGCCAAGTGGCATTTGGAGTCTCTAGAAATTTGCATCAGTCCAGAGATAGCATAATTCTAAGGAGGCCTCTGAGATTCCATCCTCCTCATGTATTCTGTATCTTTCCCCAGTTATTCAGTCAAACATCTATCTAGGTGTTGCTCTGAAGGGATTTTGCAGCTGTATTCAAGGTTCCAAATCAGTTGACTAAGAACGGGAGATTATTGGGGCACCTGGGTGGTTCAGTTGGTTAACTGTGTGACTTTAGCTCAGGTCATGATCTTGTGGTTCGTGAGTTTGAGCCCCATGTCGGGCTCTGTGCTGACAGCTTGAAGTCTGGAGCCTGCTTCAGATTCTATGTCTCCCTCCCTCTCTGCCCCTCCTCTGCTTACACATATGTGCACGCACTATCTCAAAATAAATCAACATTAAAAAAAAAAAAAAAAAAAAAAAAAAAAAAAAAAAAAGAATGGGAGATTATCCCAAGGAAGCCTGACTACTCACATAAGCGATTAAAAGAGACTGAGCTATTCCTGAGGAGAGAGATTCAAATCATGAATATTCACGAGGTTGTACAACCATCACCATTATATAATTCCAGAACATGTTCATCATCCCCAAAAGACCCCATGCCCATTAGCAGTCATTCCCCATTCTTCCAACCCCCTAGACCCTAGCAATCACTAATCTGTATCTGGGTTTGCCTGTTCTGGACATTTCATATAAATGGAATAAGATAACATGTAGCATTTTGTGTCTGGTTTCTTTAACTTACATGGTTTCTTCAAGTTTCATTCGTGTTGTAGCATCTATCAGTACTTCATTCTTTTTTATGACTGAATAATATTTCCTGTGTGTGTGTGTGTGTGTGTGTGTG